ATGATTCGCAGATAGAGAACTCTATTTGTCAAGGAATCCCGAAACAACCAATCAGAAGCCTGCGTTTGTCTACCTAAACAACCAATCAGATGACTGCGCTTGTCTATAATAATGTTGTCTGAAATATGTATAAATACGTGTTGATTTTCATAATAAAACGATCTGTTGCCTGGCCCTTGTCTTCTGTTGTTACATTTGGTGTCGCTGCCTACCGACAAATGAAAAGCCTATACCCTGCAGTTTTTGATGGAGACATATGGATCTTCGGGCAGGACTTCAAGGCTTCTGCGCAGTTGAGTGGCGTTCAAGATCTGTCAGCGATGGAGCTGCTACTTGAGACGCTGCTGGGAGGTCGGGCGAAAGCAGCATATGAAGGTGTGGGCCGAAGTATGGACGAATGTTCGACAGGGTCAGGCAAACAGTTTCCAAAGTGGGAAGGACCATATATGGTCACTTCGAGATGGGGTTACGCAGACACAGTCGCAATGGCGAACAATGAGAGGCGCGTGAACGTCAGCGAGCTCCAGAAATGGATACAGCGAGACAAGCCAACGATGACGCCTGCACCAAGTAGATCAAGCCGACTTCAGTCGCACGTATTTGACGGGGGGACGAGTGTGGTGAGAGCAGGCTGCTAGCCGATTGGTTGGCACTAATCTACGTTAAGGTCTAGGTCACTAATATGGGCCGTGAACAAGGCTGAGTCAACAACCAATCACAGCGAAGTTAACGTGGCAAAATATGATTCGCAGATAGAGAACTCTATTTGTCAAGGAATCCCGAAACAACCAATCAGAAGCCTGCGTTTGTCTACCTAAACAACCAATCAGATGACTGCGCTTGTCTATAATAATGTTGTCTGAAATATGTATAAATACGTGTTGATTTTCATAATAAAACGATCTGTTGCCTGGCCCTTGTCTTCTGTTGTTACAATAGTATTGAGTCTGTACCAAAGATAGGGCGTATTTACTACCTTGAAGGAACTCATGTCTTAGATTCGAACCAAATCCCATACAGTCCCACAGGAGGACAACCGCAAGCCCGAATAGATGTGCGGTAACGTCTCTGACTGCAGTACTCACTGGTTGACGTGACTTTGAATCTCAGAAGGGAAGTGAGTTCCTTCGAGGTTGAAAATAAGCCTTGCTGACTGGTGAGTTCCAAGTATCATGAAACCTAAGTCCAAGGCCTACTGAGGATTGCTAACCACCAACTAATATCATCATATCAATGTGCACCGTGGTGGCTAGCTACCTACGTACCTTACTAACAGGATTTAGTCTTCACGAAACAAAGGACTAGATACATCTCGCTAGTTACTCAGGTCCAGTAAAAACACACGTGTTCTGTAGGAATTTTTAGAATTGCTACTGAAGATGACCCCGTAGTTTCAAGTCAGAGCTCTGTCTGGTAGTGTCAAAACTCGGAGAGTAGAACGAAGTACCGGTGGATTTATGACCGGTGTGGCAAGATGTTAAGTGCATACGGCTAGATACAAAATACATCAGTACACAAAATACATGTCAAAGAATATTATTCAAAGATACATCTTTGGTAGTGGCTGTCTGTAGAATCTAGGAGGCTCTTCAAGTGGTTACACCTTCTCCTTATTCAGATTTGAGCTCAATGCAAATGTCAAAGCGTTATAGACTAGGCCACCATGGCATAATAACCATCTTTTGTGCTATGAATACTATTTAAATTTATTTATTCATGTATTTGATTTCCCGTTGATATATGCGACCGAATTCTGGTATATAGGTTCAGTTAACGGATGGTAAAATCAAGACTAATTCAGATATTACAGATGAGTCGAACCAAAAGCATTGCTAATGAGCTAAGCCTAAAAACAAATAAGGTTACTTATTCAATAATCTGTGTTTCAGCTATTGTACAGATTTTCAAATGAACATGGTTATAGTTGTAGACAGTGGCATTTTAATTGCCACAGATGTTAAAAAGTTTTTCAAATCCGATTAAAAATAAAGGTGGCTGCAGAATGTTGAGTATTATTATAGTGCTGGTAATCCTTTTAACATTTTGTACCATGATGATATGTGTCACCACCCTAACGTCTAACTTGTGTCAGCTGGTAGTATATTAACTTGTATAAAATATTTACACATTATGAATTCCATTGCTCGTTGAGACCGATTAAAAAGAAAGTTACCTAGTGAAAAACTTTTTATGTAGTACAATCAAGATTAAAGTTGATAAAAAGGGGTTCTTCATATTCCACTGTCTCAATGAATGCATGTAAGATGTTACTGTTTTGCATGTAGCCATTAAATTACAATCCCTTGATTTTGTCACCAATGTAAGCTGTGATTAATACTCAAACAGTTTTAATATTTTTGCCAGCATTATCTAAGTTTATTGAGTTCCATATCGTTGTGTGAGTTAAATATTATAGAAACCAAAAACGTGCAGTCAAACCGAGGAAATATTTGTTTACTAATTCGTCTATATGAAATGTTCAAAATGACTGCATCTTTGACTAAATATTTAAGTTATTCAGCTTATAAAAACAAAGGATTTCTCTCCGTCAGTAAAGTTTTATATTCAGAAGAACTGCTGATGAAACTGCTTCATATGAAGACTTTGTTTAAACCAAATCCTTACATTTAATTGTGATAATATGAAGCTACTCATTACAGGAATTATTTTTAGTTCTATAGCTGCAAAGTAATAAGATGGGAATGCTAACATTCTATAATACTATTTTATCAAAACCATATAACTTAATATTATTCTACTGTTGTACTTCCTTAGGAGACTTAGTTTTGTAAATGTTTACTGTAAAGTCAAACCACAGATACCATACTAAATTTTTTAGTATAAACTTAATAGTAACACAGTAATGTAACATTATGTGACCGTTTTGATGAAAAAGGAATACACAATAATCAAGCGAAGAATATTCTCTTCGATAGATTCCTCTTCTGGCTCTACAATTATATACATGTTTATATACACAGAATATTCAAGGTTGGTAGTTGATAACAATATTAGTGTTTTTTAAATAATATCGATTTATAAAGTATGATCAATGGAATTACATTTTACTAAAAATACTTAAATTATAATAGTAATAAAGATATAATGGCGAGTAGAATATCAACTAAAATTAGGAAATTTCCACAAAAATTGAGAATAATTCAAACCTAGATGACCAAGGTAAGGACAGCGTCTGAACTAACTTATTTTGGACGCACAAATTAGGCTTTTTAATGTGGATCCCAACAGCCTCAGCAATATTTAGTAATCGAACTCTTAAGGCGGAGTTGAGATTTGTTGGTATCCGGTAAATAACTCTAAAAGCCTGGTTAACATCAATCTTATGTTCTGTATCCACAAGATGAGCCAGAATAGCGCTACGAATAGATTTTGTTTGGCCTTCGCTTAACCACGCAGGGTGATGTTCGGAAATTCGACGAGGAACACGCCTAATTGAGCGGCCTATGTAAAGAATATTCTTTGCTCCATTATTTTGTGTTTTACAGATATCTGAATGAATATTTTTGCTATAGTAAAAGGAATACATTTATATAATCAGGCGGAAAAACGCCAGTCGCAAGAAAGGTTTAAAATAAATTTAACTTTAAAGCAGCACAGCTTATTTCAAGATAGTTGGCGTCTGTTTACCACAAAAGTGTAACATATTAATTAGAAAAATTGCCTTACTATCCAATTTTAAAATGAGGGATGAGAAAAATGTGTTTTGCAACATAGTCAGGTGTGAGAAATGCCAAAAATTCTCAAGTTAGTGTGTCACTAAAATCCAATGCTTCTTGTAAATGAATACCTTCATTTATTCGATCTTCCTCCACGACCCACTTTCTCTCAAAACAAACCAGTAAAAGACGATTAGCTAGAAACTCTTAAGCTAAAAAGTCAGGTTACTGAAGACCATTAGCATGACGTTTCCACAGTTTTCAGGTAAATTACACTCTGAACAAACTCCGAGTCTGGGTTGATCCTGGACAAAAGGGTAGACCTTTACCTCAGGCTGACTAAAGCAACATGAAATTCATAAATGATGATCCAAAGTTATGACTACACAAGTACTAAAGTGTTATACGTTTGTGTATATCATGGGATATTAAGCTGTAACGGTTTCCTTCTAACAGTATGAATATTGAAGAAAATATGAGTTTGTTTTGTCTGTTAGGAAGACTACAGATTTAAGTCACTTTCTTGTTGTCGAAAGATGGGCGCACCTTCGATTTTCTAAACAGGCACCAAAACGTCTGCGACTTAGGAGAACAAATGCTTAAAATAGTGCCATTACCAGAAATTGCGAAATCCTTTAAAATTATCTATGGACGAGATAGCTCACTTCTCCTAAGGCTTGCCGAAATAATCTCTATCACACACCTGAAACCCTGTTTATGAGTTCAGAAAAAAGAGGTTATCAGCCACCCATTCTCCTAGTAACTAGATGTTTTCATTCTCTCCTACAATTGGTTACGTAATCTTTGGCTTTTACTTCTACCCCGTCTTTTATATAGTGTAACTCTCTTTGTCTCTTCTATTTATGATTTGAGTTTCACTAAGTATATTGTTAATCAGTGTATTAGCTACTCACCATCTTACTCATCTCTTGTCTCTACCACGTAACTTCTTCGCCATTGTATGCATACACTGATTTTTGATTAAACTTGGACTCTCTGAGTGAAAATCATATAAGTGCAATTTCCTGAGCACTGTTTATTTAGTTTATAGCCTTCTGTCAACTGACATCGTGTAGAATTTGCACGTTGCAATTGCTTCATACATAGACTTAATGATTTCTTTGGGCTGTATGAGGCTTATGAGGAACCGGCGAAAAAATGATGGTACCGTATTATTCTGCGCAAACTGTTTTTACCAATTTATTTACATTATTGTAGATTAGTGGCTAAACTATAAATAAAATTGACATAGTCCTCACAAACCTGGTATCGGTGTGTTAAAGATTGTTTGAATAATTGTAAAAATACATCTGTATAACTTACAGAGTCTTCATCCATTTCGACTCCTTCCTAGATCCTTATATGTAGTCCTTTAGTCTTCATGTAATCCACATACTGTATAGACTCTCAGTTAAATCACTATTTTACGATTAACTGGGTGGAATATTTATGTTTAGTTATGCAATCACAGTGAGATAAAATCCATTGTCTGAAAAACTCAGCGTTACATAGCAGAATTCAAGACAGTGAGCATTTTCTGTGTTTTAACAGTTAAACATCGGTCCGACTTTCTGAAAAATTGTGTATAATCCATTAGTTGTTACATTATGAAGCAGAATATTATGCTATTAATGATCAGGACTTTAATTCTTCTAAAATTTAGACATTATAGGTAATGCATGCCTCCTATAGAATTCAGACTAGCTGCTTTATGTATGTCTCTTCTGTTTCCATCAATCAAATTTCAGTTAAACATAGATTTTTCATTCAGCCTAATATATATATATATATATATATATATATATATATATATACGTATTGTATGTGTACACTAAAAAAAGAAAACAAATTTCATCTGCACGTGATTGTCTTTAATTTTTACATGAAACATTTAACTAATAAATGATGAATGCATCGTCAACACCTGTTCACAGAAATATAAGTCTATTGGTGGAAAGATTCAACGAAAACAATAAATAGACTACTGACTGCCTATTTAGCATTATTTAACTGATATGATAATTCAATAATAACAGTTAAATAAGCTATATTAGTGAGACTCGGTCTACGATATCATAATTAAGTTGATGTGCGTAACTCTTGTCCTACATTGTACAGTTTCTTTACAGTAAAAATGAGAAGTAAGAACTGAAAATTATCTGGAAAACTATCTAATGATACCACTTGTTTGACAGTTCTCTCGATGTCACTCAAGCCAATGGTTTAAAGCGATCATGTGAGATTCGTTGTGTAGAAGGGTCGATTTAAAAATTGACAAGTATGTTGCTTGAATTTGTTGACTAAGATATAGCACGGCATTATGTGGTTTCACTTCGACCCTGAAAAACTTTAAGGGTTATGAAGCTCTTATAAACTAGACTTTTGAGTAGTTGGAAGCAAATTTACTTACATTAACCTCAGTCAAATTAAAAACAAGTTAGGGAAACTATCGTTATCATTGAGAAAATATGTTAGAAACAAACTGAATAAGGTTTGGGCATAGTATGTTTCAGTTAGTGAAATCGATGGAGTTTTTAGCTGTTAAAGTGTTTTCTTGTTAAAGAAATCCTGATCATTCATCAATAAACATGGAATACGTGGTCTTGACAAAGTGAAGTGCAGTACAGTAAAGAAAAAACCCAACTCTCTACAGTTTGTCTTCAAAGATGACTACCCTTCTAGCAGAATAAGATGGAGACTGAACGCTGCCCAGAAAAGAACATATGCAGCTGCTAGGCTTGTATATGATTATCAAATGACCTTTTGTTTAAGACAATGAAAAGTGGACAAACCCGCACCTCATGTTACCTCCAACTGCGTCTACCAATCTACATGCCCGTGCCAGATCACATAAACTGGATGAACAGAGAAAAGAGTTATTATTAACATCATGAACACATGCCAAAAATCCTGAAATTAAAGGGCCCACAAGCACTAAACAGTGCGATCACGCGTTACATATTAAACACGGCCATGCTGTGGATATTCTAAAGACGTTCAAAATAATCGACAGATAGAAGAAACCTATTCTGCTTTGTTTTGCTGAGTTAATCGCCATCAAACAGCTAGAACCAAATCTATGTACGCAGAAAGAGATAATGGTGAGTCATGCACAGCCTTGGTGATAACAATGCAAACAAATTTCACTACGTCATCTTCTGTCCTGGTTAGACAACTAGATTTTTCGTTTAAACACTACTCATCCCAATCCCCTAACCCTTTTTGTCTATTTTATAAAAACGTGTTTTAAGTGGTTACGCAATCTACTACTACTTTTTATACTCTTTATAGTTAAAATTTATTTCTACCAGCAAATCTTCTGTTGAACCCTGTCCTTTTGTTTCCAAACATAGTGGTACAATTCTTCTATAAACAGTCGATCTTTTCCGCATTTATTTATTCAACTATATTACATCATTCCTGACCAGTGTTACTCTCAGTTCCAACCATTTATTTATTATCATTGTAAAACATTTTGTTCAGATCTTCAATTTAATTTATAACTGTGGTATTGTTCAGGTTGTGACCAGTTGAAAAAAATCCATGAAATAATCGAAATAAAAACATGAGCTTGGATTATCTTGGAACGTTTGCTGTTTTGCTTTATTCAAATTTATTAATGGGAAGAATTGTATGCAGAATATAAAGTAAACTTTACATCTTCAGAAAAGTTCCAATCGGATTTGGTTCCGACTGAGTGAATTTTATTTTCTTTCTATACCATATTTAGCTATCGGCAAAACATATGTAGGTACACATGTTTATTTAAGGAGAATATTTACTGTTTTGATGAAAACAGACTGCCTTTCCCACATAGCTGACGGTAAAAAGCATGCTAAATAATCTGCTGGCAAAGGTTAAACATATATCAGTTTACTGGTTAGATACTTCATAGAACAACTAGGCATAGGTCAACCGTCAAAAACAGTGGTGTACTCCAGAAAGCCAATACACTCGTCAACAAACTCAACCATTATTTTGACTGAAACAAAGGATATGATATTCTACACGACACCTAGGAGGTTGCAGCGATATTTCTAGAAGCATAGCTAGTGAACAAATGCATATAAATTGTCCTCCTATACCGAAAGTTCCTAATTTCTAATGTCATCTAAGGGTTTTATTTGGCATTAAAAGTGGTAAGTAGAAGAAAGAATGAAAAGAAACAATAGAAGGAACTGTAAACATATATCTCTCGTAGTTATACGACAGCTCAAAGTGAATTCATTTCTACTGGATTTAGTAACCCTTGCAATAAAGCGACAAAATATTAAGGATTGAAGAATAGGGATTAATTAGCGATTAATCTAAGTGATCTACTAGAGTTTTTTTCATGTAAATTGATGCAGGGAATCTGCAAGGGTTTAAGTGATATGAGCACCAAATTTTAAATTCTTTTTTAATTCTAAATCCACTTTCATTTATATTATGAATCTGAATAGTCATGTCAAGATAAACTCATGCAACTTATAAATAATCACAGATATGTAGCTTCTTTGACTTTCGGCACTGTCGTTTCAAATAGTCAACTAGAGCCAAACTGCGTCAAGAGGTTAAAACAGTTTGATAGACGATAAAAATTTCAATACTAAAATTCAGGTGAATTCAAATTAGAAATGGCTACAATAAGACCTATAGAAAAGTCACAAATCGAGACAATGAGACTGTTTATGGTTAGTTCAGTTGAACCTGCATTTAACGCAAGACGATTTAATTTATCTGAACCCTTTTGGTGAATTCAAAATTTTGCTCACTGATTAGCAGCCTGCAGTTTACACAGATCGACGAGCTGAAATTTCATCACAGTTTTAAATTATTCAAACCAAATGTTGTGACCTGCTTGATTCTAAAAATGGTAATCAAGAAAGTGAGCATAGTCACATAGAACTGTGTACTAATAAGTGACTGAGATGAGTTGATATACACGATGGAAATTTATCAGTTTTATTCCTTGAGGTTCGAAATGGAACATAGGTCTTCAACAGCAAATCTCTGTTTCATTCTGTTCTGTGTCAATTTTAAAATGCCTCACGATTCCAAACGAGCTATCCCCTCATGCTAACACAATCTCTTCCACGTAAACTTCCGACGCCTAACTCGTTGTTTCTTTTTCGAGCTCCACTCGAGCTATGGCGTGGAGCGTAATGTCATTAAACGTGTATCTGTGTATTCCAATTTCTTCGGAATATTTTTCGGACAACAGAATCTTGGTCAGTTCGTTCCACAGTTCCTTCTTGCTCATCCTTTGTGGTCAGATATTTGGTCTTCAGTATCGAAAGAAGACAGCCATTGGTAAAAGTCTGCAGCAGGTGGTTGGAAATTGTGTTTGGTGACACTCGTGCTAAGCCACTGAATTGTGTGGAAGAATTGACTTAAAATTGGTGCTGAAAATCAGAATTTGTTCTTCACGCTGACTTAGTAAGATTTTCACACTGATTTCAGATTAATGAAACCATTTGTTTTGTTTTTCCGACCCAGCTTTCGACATGCTCGTCTGTGTTACAAGTAGTTGAGACAATATTGCCTTGAAAGATGAAACAAGTGACTTCGTTCAAATTTATCCTGTTGACAATGATTGATGCTTGTTGTTGTTTGGTCATTCTCATCACCTCCATCTTCGTTATGTTCACCTGAATTTCCGTCTTCCTTGTTTCTTCTACCAACTTATTGATTTCTTCATTTAAATCCTCACGTTTGTGTGACGTTAAACATAAATCATGCTAGGAGTTCAGATTTTCTAGAACCTTTTCGTGTGTGCGTCAGTGGCATAGCCATAGGGTGATCACCAATCACGCAGATGGTCCAGGGTTCTATCCCTGGCCACAAACGCACTCCTTTACCTCGCTAAGCCAGTAGTAAGACTGGTAAAGAGGCAAGAATGGGCACGAGGCTAGCGACCCAATCCTGTAAAAATAGCCACCACTCCTACTGAAACGTCAAGTCTCTAGCTAGAGGCCCTATGTTCCACTGAGAACGCAAAGGAACTAAAAAGAGCTTTGTGGGCCTAGTTTACGCTTCTGCACAATATAGCCCACCACCATCAGGAATATCATGGGTTAAGGTAGAATACAGTCTTGTCTCACTCCCAGCTTCACTTCAGAGGTATCGCTCAGTTTACCATTGTGAATCATCTGACGTGTTTCATATCACATAGCTAGTGATGGACGTTGATAAAGGTTTAAAGCACTTCTTAGTGCTGGAGCAGTTTGAAGACTACTTCTCTCGGATCGCTATCGAAGACTTTTCGAAGTCGATGAAGTTAAGGTAAAGATTCAGCTGCCATTGTATGCTCTATTTGATGATAATGGGTAACGCTGCAGCCTGATCAATACAGGGTTTGTTTTACCAAAACCCGGCTTTTTCCAGGAGTAGTTTTGAACCCAGAGCATCTTTTATTCTCTTCAGGATGACACAACTTAATGTTTCTGCAGAGGCCTAAGTCACCCTTCTCCGCTAGCTTTTCTTCCGGACAGTACGTTCCTTACTTTCATTTCCTCCAAATTCTCTGTAATAGCAGTGTGAGCATATCTGCTCATGTTTCTGGACCCATCTTCAGTACTTTTGGAGGACGTCCATCTGGGACTCCTACATTCCTTTCTAGCTTTCATTAACTTCATTGTAATCAAAACGTTTGTTTTTATTGCATGATTGTTGTTCACTAGTATTACTGTGGCTAAATGTGGTATTTCTGGACGGGTTACAGGTGATGATAGATTTAAAGTCCACTTGAAGTGGTCAGCACATTGTTTTATTTGTCTCTCCTGTTTGATAATTAAGTCCCTTTGACGACCTTATATT